TATATATATATATATATATATATATATATATATATATATATATAAGAGGGTTATAATTATACCGGTGTAACTTTTATGAAGTATTACACCGCTCAATAATTTTTTATTAAATTTGAATTTTGTAAATCCAACCGTGTTAGATTGAGAGTTCATATCTCTTAGATCATATATACAAAATTTTATATTAATCCAAGATGATTTCATACTTCATTTTTATAAAACAAAATTGACGTAATATATTCATTTCAAAATACACTAAAATATGAACACTTTGATTATCTTCAAGTTGTTGTTCAATTTTAACAAAATTTGATATACACATATAAAGTGATATGAATTTTCAATCTAACGGTTGGATTTACAAAATTCACATTTAATATATAAAGTTATTGAGCAGTGTAATACTTAATAAAAGTTACACTAATATAATTATAACTTCTATATATATATAAAAGTTCAACCTCACAATACATATTGCAAAACAACACTTGAATGCACAACTCACTCAACATTATACCACATGTTGATCATCATAAAGCAACATATTATGTATATGATTCATTTATCATCCAATTACATCAACATTACATATGGAAGCACAAAATATAAAGTTATAAAACAAAGGTCTCACTAGGTGAGTAAAGCTCTCTAGAGCTTGTCGTTGGAAGAACTATTCTCACTTAATGAGAAAAATGTTTTGTAACTTTCCTCGCTTAGCTTAACTCCCTATGGATTCTCTTGGTTGGGCAATTATAGTTTGTTGAGCGAGTAGAACTCCCTATGAGTTCTCTAGTTAGGCAGGCTATGTCTCGTTGGGCGAGAATATGATTTTTGGTAGTTGGTAATCAACTATGCATGCGTGTTGGACATGCGAGAGGCAAAGTTTCACCATGAAACTTGCCTTATCCCCTAAAAATCAGCCATCTTACACCATATATATAGACTATAAGAAATATTATATGTAGTTATATACAAAAAAATGTCATTATAGATACAACATATGTATGTATAAATCTATTTGACATATATTCATTCACACACAACTTTAATATTGATTTTGAATGAGATTCAACATGTATAGTAAGTCATTATATCTTATACCTATACTTTTTAACAATATATTAACATATATTATATTGTATCTATAGTGTAAGTAAAACTAGTTTTTAATGACAAGTATTGTGTTGCTATAAAGTGTGTGCCACTACAAAATATATATATATTTTGTATAGATAGCTCAAAGGCATTAATAAATACTACATGCATCAATATATAATAAACATGATATCCTTACAGCTTTTCTCAACTTAAAACCTTATCATTAGGACCAATAACTTCTAAATTATACACAAATTGCCACCAATGGGCTAGCCAACTCAACAAACAACAATAATAAATCTAGATATGAAGATATTACAAACTTCTCCTACCTGAATTGTGTTAAGTCAGACGAAACAATTCCCAGTAAGATTTTGAATGAGACAAATATAATGCATATTGTTATTTCTAACAAGTGTGATAGTATTTCAGATAAAGACATAAAGAACAGACAAGCTAGCTGAAGAACAAAGAATATACATGTATTACCGTCTACACCAGAACCAAGAGATATGAGTGAAGAAACCCACAAACACGGACACAAAGGAAATAAAGAACAGATAAAGACGTAGGTCAACTAAGGTGTCAGGAGAACAAGTAACAAAAGAAGAAGAAGCATTCCAAACGAAATCATAATCGTCCATTCTCACACTTGACCAAGACAGAGTCCAAAGTCTACCTCTCAGACGAAGATTTAAGTATCTAGACGAAGTCGGAGAATAGTGAAGAACGTCTAAAGCTCATAACAAACATCGTCCTCAAATCACCAAGAAACACACAAGGACATCAAGTCTAAAAAAGAGAAAGATGAAATAATAGGCAAGTTTAAATCCACAAGTCAAAACTGCGTATGTCAGAAGAAGGACACCTACTCTTCAGAGAAAGACAACGTTGTGCAGTCACACTAACGCACAAAGTACAAGGATGCCCAAGTCATGATTAGAGTCAGACATCAGAAGGAAACAAATTGTTCAGAGAAATCTCACGTATACAAGCAAATGCATTAAATAAGAAGATCTACATAGCCGTGAAGAAATCTTCTATCTACATCAACAAAAGAGTTCCTCGTCAGCAGACACATCCAAATTTAGACAACAAGCAGATTTATGTGGCCAAAATCATTCAAAAATAATAACGAAAAGATCAAAGGAAGGAAGGGATGAACATGCACCAGACGACAATTAATAGCAGATGAAGGTGTACTATGCACAACCGAGAATGCAATATATTAGGTGAAAGATGGTAAAGACAAATAAGAAGATTCGACTGCATGACAAGAAAAATAGTACAGACCAAAGAAGAACTCAAACAGAAATAAAGTCTATCTACAGAGTTGACTAGATTAAAGGAGAAGTCAATGCATCAATACTCAGACGAAGTTCAAAGTTCTAAAATACACATTGACTAATCTAATCAGAGAAAGTCAGACGAAGATCCAAAACTTGAGAAGCACATGAAATGATCAAACGCAAACGAAAATTATCATGAAGGATAGAATCAGATCTTAGAGGAAAACTCAGACATCGTCCACAATCATACAAGAAGCTCTCAATGTTAAAGGAAAGAAAAAAGGAGAAGAGAAACGAGTCAAAATAAAAAGCATGCATGTATCAAAAAAAGTACATTACTTTTTCAGATAAGGATAACAACTATATTGTTGCATGACCAGAAAAAGACAAACAATTCCTAGGTCTTAGATAAAGTCAAACACTGCTTCCAACAGTACAGAGAAGAATACACGCAATGTCTAAAGACAGGAAGCAACATTTAATGCAAAATCTTGAGCATTAAATGAAGGATCAAACTGGTCATGAACGACTATATCAGCTTCAACGGACATATGCGTCGCTGTCGAGGATGATGAGAACATTGAGCCCATTTCTGATGAGAAGCTCGAAGAATTAATGGATGATTTTGCTAAGGAAGAGGAACCTATCTATCCAAAAGAGGGAGATAACTTAGTTGAGTTATTGTCAAAGAAGAAAGAGGCTGATAGGGAAGTTATGCTGTGTCCCCGATGCAGTGCTGTCTTCGATAGAGCTGCTGCTAAGGCCTTCGAGGAGTCAGAGATGATGAGGAGCTACAAAGCCGAGAAGCTTCGAGAAAAGCCTAAGCTTAATGCTGGATCAAGTGCTGGGTTAACTATGAGGCAGGTTCACATGCCTCAATATAATGCTCCAGTAGGAAAGTTGGAAATGTATAACTCGTCGAGATTCGGCAATACTTTTGTGCCGAATGCAAACGTTCCTGTAGGAAAATGAACTGCTCCACCAAGGCTAATGATGGGTGGCATGGGTCGAGGAAAACAAGTGATGAGTTACACTGCACATCCAATGCAAGGAACTCCCGAAAAAATTTCAAATATAGCTACAGGGCCTGGTAGATTCTCGATTGGAAGTTATGGGCGTGGTTTTCGACAGCCCTTTAATAACTTAACTAAAACTCAGTGGAGAAGACAACAAAGGATGAGAAAGGCTACATTTGATGGGTTCAGAGGGAACCGATTTTCGATTCCTGTACCTCAAAAAAGGGAATCCTCTCGAAAGTTCATCGAAGACGATGAGGATCTAATAACTGATTGTTTCGAGAGTGGATTCGATGATTCCTTGGAAGACATTTGTGGGATAGTGTCAATTCTGTCCTCTGAATATGCTGGAGCCATGGAATCTGTAAACGAACAAGAGGATATCCATCGAGAAGATTTCTTCGATGATCCTAATTATGAGTCCAAGATCGTGTGAGTTAATCAGATCTCGAGGGTTATCCCTAAATTTAATTCAGTTGTTTTCGATTCCCCTACCGAAGAGATGAAGGGGCACCTTAAACCTTTATTACTGACCTTGATGATTGAAGGTCACGAAGTAAATAAAGTGTTGATTGATGGAGGTGCAGTTGTGAATATCTTGCCCAGGACAATGCTGAAGAGGTTTGGGAAGTCCATGGATGATTTGAAGCCTCATAATATATTGATTTCAGATTATGCAGGAAAGTCTTCACACCCTGAAGGCATGATTTTACTCGATGTTCAGATTGGAAGTGTGAAAAGGACTACCATGTTCATAGTAACCCCCTCGAAGGCTAACTTCAATGTGCTATTGGGGCACGAATGGATTCACGGGGTAGGAGCTGTCCCTTCCAAGGTGCACCAAAAGATTTTCTTTTGGAGTGATGATGAAGGGCTGGAAGTTCTCGAGGCTGACTAGAAAACATATGAGGTAGGTATGTATTTTGCTGACCAACAATTAACAGCATTTGCAAAGACCAAGCCTTTTGATGCCTACAATGCTGGAGTGATGGATGAAGAAGAGGGAATTAAAAAGACCTTTTGTTGGGATGTAAAGAAAGGTTTCGTGATTCGAGCCAAAAAAGATTCGGCTCCAATTGGAGAATGAAGGGAGAAGATCCTTATTCGAGCTTCTTAGCTCGAATATCGGCCTACATGGCTGATCAAATGGCCAACATGGCCGAGGAAAGACAAGATAGGGAGGTACATGCAAATGTTGAGATTGATGAAAGAAGAAAAACAAAAAACAAAGAAAGAGGGAATAGATTTCGAGGTCAAAAAGAAAGAAGAAAAATAAAAAAGAAAGAAAGGGGATATAGACTTCGAAGTCGAAAAGAATGAAGAAAAAGAAAAAATAGATAAAAAACGAGGGGACCAGGTCGTCTCGAGACAAACAAAACAAGAAAAAATAGAAATTAAAATGGACCAAGTGGTCAAAAGGTTAAAAGAAGGTAAAGAGCAAGAGTCAGAACTCAAGTTAGATTGTATTTTCGATGATTCACCGTTGGGATTCGAAAGAGCAACCAAGGAAGAACATAAATTAGAATCTCAAGATCCACTCGAGGAAATTAACTTGGGAACTGTCGAGAACAGAAAAGTGACTTACGATGAAATAATTCGAGTTTTGTATGAATATAAAGACTGCTTTGCATGGGATTACGATGAAATGCCAGGGTTAGATCGAGGATTGGTAGAGCATAGGCTACCCATGATCCCTGGAAAGTAACCTGTTAAGCAAAGCTCTCGAAGGTTCGCTCCTGAGTGGATATCGAATGTCGTGCCTGTTATAAAAAAGAATGGAAAACTCAGAGTATGCATTGACTTTCGAGATCTCAACACAGCAACCTCCAAAGATGAATATCCTATGCCCATCGCTGAAACTATGATAGACGCTGTTGCAGGTAATGAAATTATGAGTTTACTCGATGGTTATTCTGGATATAACAAAATTTATATTGCAGCTAATGATGTATCGAAAATTGCTTTTCGATGTCCAAGTGCTTTAGGCGTCTATGAATGGGTGATGATGCCATTTGGATTAACAAACGCAGGTGCCACTTATCAGAGGGCAATGAATTTAATATTCCATGATTTAATTGGTAAGTTTGTACAAGTCTATATTGATGATATAATTGTTGGGTCGAAACAAAAGGAGGATCACCTAAGCCATTTAAAATTATCTTTCGAGAGAATGAGAAAACATGGTTTAAAAATGAATCCACTAAAATGTGCTTTTGGTGTTACAGCGGGAGAATTTCAGGGGTTTGTCATACACCAGAAAGGGATCGAAGTGAATCGAAACAAGACTAAAGCTATCATGGAGACTAAACCTCCATTGAACAAGAAAGAACTTCAATCTCTCCTAGGTAAAGTAAACTTTCTGAGAAGATTTATATAGAACTTGTCTGGCAAAACTAAAGTGTTTTCTCCTCTTTTACGTTTGAAAAAGGAGCAAGAATTTCGATGGAATGAAGAGCACCAGAAAGCGTTCGATGAAATCAAAGTTTATTTGGCTCATCCTCTAGTGCTTGCACCACTCTCTAAAGGGAAGCAACTGAAGTTGTACATTTTAGCTAGCGATTCGACTATTGTGGGCATGCTGGCAAAAGATGATGATAATGGCATCGAAAGAGTCATTTATTATTTAAGTCGAATGTTAGTAGGGGCAGAAATTAGATATACTCCTTTAGAGAAATTATGTTTAAGTCTTTATGTTGCTTGTACAAAGTTGAAATATTATATTAGGCCTTGTGATGTTGTAATATTTTGTCGAAGTAATGTGATTAAGTATATGTTGTGTAAACCTGTTTTACATTCTTGAGTTGGTAAATGGGCACTTGCCTTAACTGAATATTCGTTAACTTTCGAGCCGTTAAAAGAAACTAAGGGACAAGTAATTGCAGATTTTCTTGCAGATCACTCGAAAGAAACTGAAGAAGTTATTTACTTAACCACTAAGCCCTGACAATTATTTTTCGATGGCTCGAAACACGAATTAGGCACTGGGGTAGGTCTTTTAATCATTTCCCCCGAAGGGTTCCCGACTAAATTATCATTAAAAACATACAAAGGATACTCGAACAATGAAACTGAGTACTAGGCACTAATAACGGGACTCGAAATTCTCAAAGAGTTAGGTGCTAGGAATGTATCAATTCGAGGTGATTCACAACTAGTCATCAAACAATTGAATCAAGAGTATAAGTGTTTAAATGAAAAATTAATTGAATTCAAAACTCGAACTGCGCAGTTACTTAATGCGTTTGATGAAGTTGAGTTACAACATATTCCTCGAGACTCGAATACCATTGCAAATGAATTGGCCCAGATGGCATCAGGGTATAAAGTAAGTAAGGAATGTCTCGAGTATCTGATTCATACAGAAAACGAATTGATAGGCCATCTAGAGACTCTAAGTGTTGGTTCTTCGAGTCAACAAGATTGGAGAAGCAAATTGGTCGAATATTTGCAAAATCCCAATTTGAAGGTCGAATAAGAAAAATTAAACTCCAAGCCCTCAATTATGTCTTGTTAAATAGCGAATTATACAGAAGAGGTTTCGATGGAGTTCTGTTCAAATGTCTCGGGAATCATGAAAGTTATATAACTATGGCAGAAGTACATGAAGGTATTTGTGGTGCACATCAAGCAGGTGAAAAGATGAAATGGACCTTGTCGAGAAAAGGGTTCTATTGGCCAACCATGATTAAAGATTGCATTGAATTCGCAAAAAGTTGTGAAGAATGTCAAAGACATGGGCCAATACAAAGGGTACCTGCAAGTGAATTGCATTCAATCATTAAACCCTGGCCATTTCGAGGCTGGGTAATCGATATAATAGGGCAAATACATACATCCGCCTTCCTCGAAAAATCATAAATATATATTGGTTGCCATAGATTATTTCACAAAATGGGTCGAGGAAATTCCCTTGAAAGAAGTTGAGCGAAAAGACATAATTGATTTTGTCGAAGATCACATTATAATGAGGTTTGGAATTCCCCAAACAATTACTACTGATCAAGGCACAGTATTTACGGGTCGAAAAGTTGCTCAATATGCTGAATCTCGAGGAATTAAATTGATGACTTCAACACCATATTATGCACAAGAAAATGGTCAAGCAGAAGCTGCTAATAAGGTGGTGATTGGACTAATAAAGAAACATATCTCGGGCAAGCCTCGAAACTGGCATGAAACTCTTGTTCAAGTATTATGGGCTTACAGAAATTCTCCAAGAGATGCTACAAAAACTACCCCATATAAACTGGTGTACGGGCACGAGGCTATTTGATGAGTCATTATTTTCCCCTATTTTATATTAATTTGAAATCAATTCATATACAAAAACAAAATGAATTACCTATTGAGGATTATTGGAATTTAATGTATGATGAATTGGTTTCTTTAGAGGAAGACAGATTGATCGCATTGCAAAACCTTGTTCAACAAAAGGAAATAGTCGAGAAATCATACAATAAGAGAGTCAAAGAACAACGATTTCGAGTTGGTGACTTAGTATTAAAAGTGATTCTTCCCATGGATCAAAAATCTCGACACTTTGGAAAGTGGTCTCCTAATTGGGAAGGTCCCTTTATAGTTGAGCAAGTGTATTCGAAAAATGCATACGTGATTAAAGAAATCGATGCAAATGTGAACAAAGTTATAAATGGAAAATACTTGAAACACTTTCATGAGAGAGCAAAATAGTTGTTCAGTACAAACAAAAAAGAAATCAAGAAAATCGAGTTTAAAAAATCTAATTATTACAAAACTTGGTCTTGAAATCTTTAAAAGCCTTATAAGCCTCATCCAAGCTTTGCCTTCGAGCAACACATTGACCTTCCAGATGCTTCTTGTGCTCCAAAGTTTTGGCCAGTCTCGAAGAGATAACCTTGCCTTCCTCTTTTAAGCTCTTCTGGCGTTGCACAACATCTTGACTTTGAGTCTTCAAGGCAGCCTGTTTCGAGCGAAGAACATTCAATTCATGCTGCAAGGCTTCGATGGATGCTGTGCAATCTGTCTCCTCCTGTTGTAACTTCTTTAAAACAGGGATCATCTCCTCCGTGGCTTTTCGAATGGAGATCATATCTTCACGGAGTTTTTCAAGTTTAGCACGATCTCCCTCGCTTTCAACTTCGATCTGAGCCACTTCTTGGAAAGTGGCAGACCACTTTGATCGAAGATCTGAGGTGAGAGTAAAAGCTTAGGTAAACTCTTGTAGCTCGACATGGATTGCAGGAGGAAGATCAGAAAAGGCAAGCAAGTCTTCGACCATCTGCTCAACTTTGATTTTAAAGGCTAGGTCGAGGAGGGCTTTATCTAAGTCATCTGCATAGGCCTTGGACCTGAAAGACTCGAGCACAGGTTGGTAAGATGGGTTTGTCTCGGACACTTGTTCAACTTTCTCTTTATCTTTTTCTGACCCAGATGGACCACTCGTCCAGTTGTCGAGAACGTCGAATATACTATTGATATCCTCATCCTCTTCGTTGAAAAAGCTCATCAAGTCTAAGTCAGTTGAAGGGATCGAGGAAAGCCCTTGTATAGAAGATTTGACGCCACCTTGGGTCGAAGGAGAAGTAGTGAAGGGCTTAGGAGATTCAGTCGAATCTATGATAGACAAACAATATGTAAGACAGAGTTTCATTATGATTCATGAAATGATAAAAGTTTGAAATAAAAGAAATGTACCCTTGTTTGGACTCAAGGGAGGTTGGAGCTCGAAAGAAGGTTCACCTTGGGCAGACTCTTGCAAGATCTCCACATTCGCCAAAGGTTCAGATTGGAGAACCTTGTCCTCCTCGACCTGAGGAGGAATCTCTATCGAAGCCACAACTGAAGCAATCTTAGCAATATTCAATTGAGGTGTGGCAAGCTGCAAACAAATGATAGGATTAGAAAGAGAGTACAAAGAGGGACCCAAAAGAGAAAGGTGAAAAGGAGCAGACCTGTTGAGATACCCCGGTGACGGGAGGAATGTCTCTCGACATTTCCCGAGAGGAGTCAATTTGAATGACCTCGACATCCTACGATAAGAGATGTTAAGAAATTCAAAAAGTCAGAAAGACATGATCAAAGACGAGGCATAAAAATACCTTGGGAATTGATTTCATTGCATCCTTAAGCAACTTCTCGACGGGAGGTTTCTGAGTTTTCTTGGGAAGAGGAACCACCAATTTCCCCTTCCCTTTATCGGGTTTTTTCGTGGTCGAGACCTAGAATTGGAAGAACAATCTTTTTAGTCAAGACTCGAAATAGAGAGTAGCAAAGTATATTAAGGCAAAATAGTGTACTTACAGTTTTGGTGCTGCCCGAGTCCACTTTTTGTTTTTTGGAGGTTTCAATACTCTGAAATATCAGAAACAGAGTAGGTAAAGTGAAACAAACAAATCAAGAAATATGTTTAACAAGTTAGCTCGAAAAGAAGTATACCTTGGTGCGTAAAGAAACCTTGTCGGAAGCGGTCTTTCTTTTGCGACCTTTTAATGATGATCCTTTCGCATCATCATTATCATCACTCGCCCAATCGGGAGTTTGTTCAACATGTTGTGGAACACGTTGAGAAATAGCAGCTGTATAACAACATAGAAAGAAGATGAGATAAGTACAATGAAGAATTTGAGAAATTTTCTTGGTTATAGTCATTTACCGGGAGGAGGATTAGTGTTATCGACCGAACATAGTGGCCACCATCTTCTTCGAGGAAAATCGTACAGGGAACATCTCGCATAAGTAACTCGATTCTTTACAGGGATCGCTTTATGCTCGAGGTGAAGTGGGTTGAGTGTTTTTACCCAAGGGGGTAAGACAAATATTTAGCTAAACCAAAAAGAGCATTTAGAAGAGGAGGTATATTTTTAGGACAAAACTTTTCGAAATCAGTTTTCCCTCGAGGATTAATTACCTTTTTCGAGCGGATGTTCCTCTGTACCATTTTTGACAGAGAGACAGATGCATCGAAGATGGTTCGACTCATGTTGTCAGGTCGATAACAGACTTTAAAAAATTGCTCAAATTGATAAATAATAGTTTGGTTCTTGAAAGTACCTGATTGTTTGGGACCCTGCGAAGAAGAAAGAAGAGAATTGATCAGCTTCCTTAAAAAACCATCAAAGTCGATAATTTTATCTAGATAATATTCACACCACCATCGAAGATAGCATCTCGAGACTAAGAAGGAGGGAGAAAAAGAGCAAGGTGTGAGATGGAGCTGTTTATCAGGGCGTAAGATAAAATTCAAGACTTCTTCATAATTTCCTTTCTCGACACAAATATCTGCATCAATGCCCTCTTTGCGTCGAAGAGGAAGGGGTTTCATTTGACAAAGACCAAATTGTCGAGCAAATAGTTGAGGTTGGTAGGGGTAAATTCTAACATCCTTTTGTCGCATGCCTAACATGATCATGTCCCAGGATAAAAACCCAAACCACATCTCGACAGAATCATATGTCATATTCCAGACTTGATTGTTTCGACGAAGCCAAGGGGGACCTGTTAAAGAGGTGCGTATGAACGGAGCTAAGTCTTCGCTAAACTGGTTAAAACTGAGGATTGCATCAATATATTTCGCGAAGTTATCGATTAAACGCTTTCAAGGAGTAAGCGTGGTTAGGCGAGCTCCTTCAAGTTCACACGTTGGCGTGAAAGATGAAGTCAGTGAAAGTTTTCTCTCCAAAATTGCATTCAACCATAATTGTAGTAGCCATAAGGGTCCAGAGAGGTTTCGAGGGCCAGACTCTCGGAAAAGGCTTCCCGAGGCTTCATCAAGACATGTATATAGAGAAGCTAATAAAAGTTTACTTAAACAAATATTCTTTTTTAAGTGTAAGGCCTGTGCTAAAACGTAATAATATTTCGTAACTTGAAGAGAGGGAATACAGAAACCCCAAGCAAATAACCAATACATAAAAAAAACAATATGTACAGACTCTGAAACAGGGGTACCAGGTTGTCCTACATGAGCATTAATGAAAGCTATGTAAGTCTTCTTGTCCCAGGTTATCGAAACTTCCTTGATCGAAATTTCTTCTTCGACAGCATCAGGGTGAAATCTATCTCCTATAGGGGTTAAGCCGGTTATCGCTGCAATATCCAACAGTGTAGGGCAAACGAAACCACAGGGGAACTCGAAGGCACGAGTCTCTCTATTCCAAAAGAAAATGGCAGAAAGGAGCATTTGAGGGTCAAAGAGATGCAGATCAAATTTGGCGAGTTGGATAAACTCGAATATGCCAGCTTCTACCCAAGAAGAGCTCATTGCTTGTTCTACACGGAGTAACCACTGTAGGTGCCTATCTTTAAGAGGGGGAAAAGCCCTAAAAATCTTAGTGGTATCGCTAAATAAAGACAGGTCTATTTCTGAAGAATGGATGAAGGGTAAGGTAGTTGAGTCTTTAGGTAACAGAGTATTCCCAAATTTTTTATTATTTTGACTTATGAACGGACCTAAAAAAGCATGAGTACTACCATTGCCAAGAGTAAAAGGAAGGAGTACCTGGGATTGGAAAATTTTAAGGCTTGCTTCCTCCATGCCTGGGATAGGGACGAAGGTATCGTCCCCGTCTTTGACTTTGCACACTTGAGCATCAGCCTTTAAGAGAGGAGCAGCCTGAGTAGAGGTTGTTGAGGCCATTACAGGAGACGTCGTAGTGACCGTGGTAGGAGATGAAGCGGAAACCATGGTTGGAGATGATGCAGAAGCTGCGGTAGGAGAAACGGCGGAAGCCACATCGGCAGAGGTGGATGCAGTAGAAGAGGCCATGACGAAGAGCAAAGAAAGATGGTGAATAGATGATTAGAAGAAAAGTATGCAAGGTCGCCAGAGAAGAAACCAAGAACCAGAGCAAGAATAGCAAGGAGGGAGGAGAACACTGAACCAGAAACTTACGCGCAAAGGAAGACAATGGTGAAAACAGGTGTTACCGTAAGGTGAAAAAGGGTTTTAACGGGCTTAAGGTGAAAATAGGCCCATAAATGAATTTAAAATTCAAACTAAATGATCAAAAACAGCCGCCAAAATGGTTTTTGAACAAACTCATGGGGAAACGGAAGCACGCGCCGTCAGGGCTATCAATATCACATCCAAACGGTCAGTGCATTAATTGATGACAGATATAGGTTTTCGTCGAAGAAGTACCAGTTACAAACAAACAAGAACAATTCGAGGAAGAATCGAAGGAAAATCTCAATAGGAATTCAGCTTCATTTCATCAGTATTCATCAAGACTGAATTCCTAGGGGGGCATTTGTTAGGGCCACTCGAAAACCCCATGAGTCGAAAATAGCGTATGA